TGTGTGTGTGTGTGTGTGTGTGTGTGTGTGTGTGTGTGTGTGTGAGCGCTGTTTTGGGACCTCTGTTGCGTCAGCCCGCCTACGTTGCTTCCCGAACTCCATCCTGTGTTCCCCACCCCAACACACACACACACACCTAACCCCCCCCCCCCGCGCCTAACCCCATCCACCCCACTCAACATACCGCAGTTGGCAGGGCGCACGCTTCGTGTCGACCACGTGCGGGACTACGAGGCGCCGGAGATCCGAGAGATGAAGCGCATGCAGCGAAAGGGGAAACTGCACGAACACATTGAGAAGCAACAGGAGGAAGTGGGTGACAGCGACGGCCCGCCGACGGCGCCCGTGCGCGAGGCCCTGCTCAAGGAGCTGCGCGGTGAAGGCATGGTCACGGGCACGGGAGAGGTCCAGGAACGACAGCAGCAACAGGAGGGTGCAGATGACACGCAAGACGACGAGTACGACTTGGAGGCAGCGTTGAAGAGACAGCGTAAGAAGGCAAAGAAGCAAGCGAAGAAGGAGAAAAAGAAGGAAAAGAAGGAAAAGAAGAAGAGGAAAAAGGAGAAGAAGGAGAAGCACAGGAGGAGCAAGGATGAACCTGGACACGTCGGCAGCAATGACGGCAGCGACAGCGACAACCACAGCCAAGACAGCAAACAGCAAAGAGCAACAGCACAGGACTCCGTACCAGCATCAACAAGGCGACATGACAGCCCAGACGCCCACAGTCCCCGTGGAGGTGACGATGAACACCGCCATCGCCAGGACAGAGGCGCAGTGCGTTATGAGGGCCGCCACCGAGACAGGCGCGTCTCTTCCTCACGCGGCCGACGCAGCCGCAGCCGTGACAGGAGCAGAGGTCACGATGACGGGCACCGTGACCGGGAACGAGAGCGGGATCGCCGCCATGATCGCCGCGACTACAGGCGGAGGAGCAGGAGCAGGAGCCCCGTGCGAAGGCGTTGATGAAGGGGAAGGGCGTGTGTTGTGTGTGTGTGTGTGTGTGTGTATGTGTGTATGTGTGTGTGTGCGTATGTGTGTGTGTGTGCGTGTGTGTATTGCGTGGTGCATTTGTGGTAGTTGTGTGTTTGTGGACGTTGCACAGTAAACCTTCACGTCAAAAAGAAAACCACCATGTCATTTGGCGCAACACCGCAGCGACAAGCGTGAGTGTTGCCCGACGTGAACGGAGTGGACAGAAAAAAATTCACCGTGGAGCTGCCGGGTATCGATCCCGGTACCTCTCGCATGCTAAGCGAGCGCTCTACCACTTGAGCTACAGCCCCTTTTTGGTGCCGGAGGCAGAAATTGTACACAAGAACTATGTTTTGGCCTGAGGTGGAGTATTTGTTCATATTTTCAATGAAAATTCGCAAGCCCACATTTATTTTGCTTTGCGCCACACCCCACAACAACCAGACGACGAGAAGACAGACATCGAGATCGACGTGCTGTCCTGAGGTCCTGCTAGCCTGCTGTCCTGCGGAGGAGGGAGTCACCCTCACCAGAAGACCAGAGTCACCTCCCCTCCCAGCCTTCCCTCTTTCCCTGCCAGGATGAGCTCACCAAAGCCGGTACGGAAGAAGGCATCCCAACGCAGCCGTCGCAAGAAGGTGTTCATTTCGCTGCGGTTTGGAGAGGCCGGGCATGCAGGCAAGCTGCTCAAGCGTGAGCTGGAGCAGGTGCACGGCTTGGACGTGTTCCTGTGTGACGTCAAGCCTGGTGGCAATATGGAAGAAGAGATCATCACGGCTCTCGCGGCCTGTGACTTGGCTGTCATCATGGGCACCAAAACTTACGGGAAGAAGACGCCGTCCACCTTCAGCACTTATGAGGAGCTGCGCTTCATCACGGCAAGGCAGAAGCCGTTCTTCTTCATCAAGATGTGTGACGACTTTGAGGAGGAGTTCGCCCAGTTCCACCTTCCCGATTCCATCTCCTACTTTCCATGGATCCCTGCTTCAAGCGATCCAGAATCCATGTCCCTACCACATGATCTCGCCCCAGCCATTGCAGACAAGCTCAACCACATCAGCACTTCGAACGGCGACGGCAAGGGCGGCAAAGGTCACTCCTCCGTCATCACACGGCAGCTACCAACCACGCTGGACGCTGACCTGACACAGTGGCTGCAGCGCTACAACATGCTGTCCTCCATGGGGCTGGTGCTTGAGAAGCATAACATCACAGGTCTCCACAAGCTGGAACAGGCAACAGAGGCCATGCGGAATCCGAGAACGCGTGCACTTGCAAAACGGCGACAACAACAGCAAAAGCGAGGGCAGCAGGGCAGCGAACCCAAGCCAACAGAGGGCGTGCGACAGCTGCATGAGGGAATGCTGATGCGAGAAAGGAAGTTGAAGCCAGCAGAGATTGCCAGGTTCCGGCGAGCATGCAAGGCGAGGACGTGGCGCAAGAACGAAATGGGAAATGAGGATAATACGAAGGTGGATGGCACAGAAGAGGTGCGTGACAACGAAGATGAAAGGCAGGCAGATGAGAAGGTGAAAGTTGAGGCGAGCGACGAAGGAGAACAGGGGATGATTCAACAGCAACAGCAATGGAGTGACACGCCACCGCCTGTGCGGGAGGGTGTCGCAGATGAAGCGCTGTTCAGGGAGTATCTGGAGAAGGTCGAAGATGAATTGCTCAAAGCAAAGATCCTCATCATTTGGAACAACACGTGTGGCGACCAGGTCAAGTGAGTACGGAGCGGATGACAAGAAATGAACATGAATGGGCTCATGCTGAGTTTCGGCCTTAAGTTTCATGTAGTCATTTTGAACAGGCTACAGTAGCTAATTCATGCGATGTGCATACTCACACACCCAAACAAACACGCACACCCATACACGATAACCACATCACACGCACGCACGCACACGCACACACACACCCACACTACAAACCACAATGAACCTGTTCTACAACACCATGCAGCCTGGTAGGCAACCATGTTGGACCTGAAGGCGGGAAGGCAATTGCGGAGGCATTGAAGGTCAACACGACGCTGACGGAGCTCTAGTGAGTTGTTTCGTTGCGGCCCTGAGTATGAATGTGTGTGATTTTGTGTGAATATGCGTTTGTGTGGCAGAGGCACATCGTGCTGCTGATGTGGTGTGAGTGGTTGGTTTTCTGATGGTTGGTATGGATGAGGCAGTGACGTGCTGCTTTGATAGACGTGAAAGGATACCAGTTTATATCACGCGCGTGCATATACGTTGTGATGGGTCTGCGGTCATCGCACAGTGGTGGCTGTGTGTGATGAGGTCCTGAGATTGAGTTTGGTTGATGTTGTCACACTATGAGGGTTGTGCTTTGTGGGTGTGTGTTGTGTGTGTAAGTGTTGGATGTGACGTAGTTGTTCGTTTTGAACACGCATGTTGAGGGTAGGGATTTGCCGCTCGATGCTCAGGTAGTGGATTGTCTGATGCCATGTGTCATGCACTCAAGATTGCACACACCCACACTACAAACCACAACAATACCACAACCACATGCAGCCTGGCGTGGAGCGGTCTTGGACCTGAAGGTGGGAAGGCAATTGCGGAGGCACTGAAGGTGAACACGACGCTGATGGAGCTCTAGTGAGTTGTTTCATTGCGGGCCTGAGTATGAATGTATGTGATTTTGTGTGAATGTGCGTTCGTGTTGCAGAGGCACATTGTGCTGTGTCGTGTTGAAAGGAGGTGTGCTGCTACATTTCCTGCATGTGCGTACGTGTGTGATGATTTTGGATAGTTGTGGTGTGTGGTGTCTGTATGCGTGTGACGGCATTCGTTCTGTCACGTCAGGCGTGGTTGCTGGCTTGTATGGTAGCTACTGTGTTGCGGGCTCGTGTGCTGTGTACTATGCATGCTGGTTTGGATATGATTGCGGTGCAACGTTCTTGAACTTTATGCGATGCGTGGACTAACGGCGTACCACATGCGCTACAACCATCACAACACACGCAGCCTGGGGAATGACGACGTTGGAACTGAAAGCGCCGTGGCCTTTGCGGAGGCACTGAACGTGAACACAACGCTCGTGTTACTGGGGTATGTAATTTGTTGGTATTGTTGGCTGACTGTGTTTTATCGTCTTAGCTTGCGCGCAGGATTGCGGTGGCTTGCCAACGCCTGGTGCGATGGTATGCGTGTCTGTGCTGTGGCCTCGCGTTTTTGATGTGATATGGCACTGAAAATTGTGTGGTGGGAACATTGAAGTGTGTGATGTTTGCGCGTGTTCCATGTTGCTGTCCTGCACTGCATTACTTTTGTCTTTGGCGATGGGATGCATTGTGTTTTGGGTGTGACATGACTGTGTTTGTCGTTTTCGTGGGGACATGAATATCTGCGTTGCACGTTGCGTGAAAAGGGTGATGTGCTGTTGCCATATCTGTTACAGACTTACGTTGTGTCACACAATTCTCGTCGATGCTACGAAGCTTGTGGGAGACAAATGTTGGCTCCGAAGGCAGGAAGGCGATCGCGGAGGCATTGAAGGTCAACACGACGCTGACAACGCTCTAGTGAGTGTGGGTGCTTGTGTGCACCGAGGCATTGTTGGTGACTGAGACATGTTACGTTGAGGCGCTTTCTGCGCGTGTCATAAGGACAGTTGTGGTGTGGGAGGAGAGGGGGCGGTGGTACTTCTGTGTTGTATCAGGATCAGGCGTGGCTGCTAGTTGCGGTTATTTGACAGGGGTATGAAGGCTGCGGGGAGGGCAGTGGGCGAGGATGCTTGTGTGTTTGTGTTTGTGCGGTTATGATGCGATTGACTGCGGGTCACTTGCACCACAATTACGACAACTCCACAACCACACCACGCAGCCTGGCCTACGCTGAGAGCGCCGTGGCCTTTGCGGAGGCACTGACAGTCAATACAACGCTTCAAGTTCTGGGGTTGGTATTGGCTTGGGTGTGTATGACGGGTGGCTTAGTGTATGATAAGCTTCGCGGCATCTTTTCTTTCTCCTTTTTTCTTGTACTCGGCTGTTTGTATTGCAATGATGGAGCTGCGAGAGTGCTCGTGTCGGTTTGAGTGCTATTTGAAACGTGGAGAGACAAACGAAGTGTCTAGATGTGATGAATTGTGCTCATTATTGCAGTATGTTCTCTCAGCTTCCTCGACTGAACCACTGCCCTTCCTTGTGTGTGTGTGTGTGTGTGTGTGTGTGTGTGTGTGTGTGTGTGTGTGTGTGTGTGTGTGTGTGTGTACGTACTATAGATCACGGTATCCCCACCGATGATATTCGGCATAGTCACCCAGGCTTGACTATTTTGTACCCCACTTTAAACAGTGCGACATCTTCTCATGCCAGGTCCTGCAGTAAAGCGGATGTACCAATGCTAATCCGTTTGGTGTCTCAAAGTCTACTATCTTCGCGCACAGATCTAAAAAAGACCATCAGGAGTGTCTTTTGTGTGTTGTAGGAATATACCGCTCTGTTGGGACCTTAGCTGTCGTCTGCAAACTCAGATAGGATTTGTCTGATCGTGTGTGTGTGTGTGTGTGTGTGTGTGTGTGTGTGTGTGTGTGTGTGTGTGTGTGTGTGTGTGTGTACCTAATGTACCATGTCTTGCTTCTTGGGTTTACCCTTACATGCGTAATGGCAACTCAGCTCGCCAATGCTGCGACGACGCAAGGTTATGTACTGTATGTGGTGGCTGCAGTGTCCAATGAGTGTGTGGAATGGCAAAGTGCATGGGTATTCGATTTGGGTGATATTGTGCTGGACTGCAGGTGTCAGTGCTCTGCCAAAGAGGTGTTTGCTGTGAGCTGTATGTGTGGTTGTGTCTCCGCATCGGGGCTGTAGTTGACGAAGCTGTTCTTATGACGCCTTTGCGCGTGTGGGTGCTCTATGCATCCTGAGGGGCGTGTGCACGCGTTGACGAGCACGTTCTAGGGTTGTTGTCGTCGATAGCACTTGCTCCTAAGACTCCAGACCATCCCTGTTCTCACCTTGGTCCTCTCTTCTTACTCCCACTCTCTCACTGTAGTTGTGGTTCGAATTTAGTTTTACCGAGTGGGTGCCGGACAAGCTTATGGCTCGCATCAAGTCTGCGCTTGAGCGAAACCGGAAGCTTGCCTCCCGCACGCAAGAATTGAAAGCCCTCCTCGAACACGGCTCTGTTCCGCTCTCAACAGCCAAGGTGTTTGTATGCGGGCACTATGGCATCGGCAAAACCACCCTCATCAACACGCTGCAGTCGTCTCCACATGTCATTAACACCATGGTGCGCCGTCGTCGCAAAACGTACGACGAGCCCGACCGCCCAGATCAACGTACTCCCGGCGTTGAGATGCACAACTTCGCACTCAAGAGAGGCGGGTCATCTGGCAGCGTCTCCCTCACACCATCGCCAGCTGGCGCAGCAGGAGGGACCGAAGACTCATCCGGTCACGAGACAACGCTCCCGTCGTGCAAGCTGCGGGTGTATGATTTCGCTGGGCAGACGGAGTACCACGTGGTGCACGAGCTGCTGTTTGCGGACCACAACGCCGTCTTCGTCGTGTGCGTGGACTTGTCCAAGGACATGGCCAACGTGGAGGAGGCTGTGCTGTACTGGCTTCGCTTCATCAAGACGCGGCTGCACCAAGCTGTGCACCGTTCACCGCATCCACCGCACGTGTTCATTGTTGGCACCAAGGCAGACAAACCACTCGAGCACAACACGCTGGTGGAGACGACAGCAGAAGCTATACCACATGCTTCTGGCGTCTCTTTGCCGCCAATGCAGTTTCCGAGTGGCGACGCGCTGTTGCAGAGCCGCCAGCTGCAGGAGTGGTTTGGTGACACGATGCGCATCCATCCACACGTGATTCCTCTCAATTGCCACGAGTTGGGCGGTGCCTGCATGCATCACTTGCGCGATTTGCTTCACGCTGCGTGGCTGGAGGTCGTGCAGCAAGACATTCAAGTGCCCAAAGTGGTGGAATTGATCGGCGAGGGGCTTGCATTGTGCAGAAAGGAAGATGAAGGCCCATGGGCATTGCACCGGCTGTTTTCGTTCCTCCTCGAGCACGTGGGGGAGTTGGCGCGCATTCCCGGCTTGAACGAGGACATCTTCTGCAAGGCGCTCAGGTGTGTGTGTGTATGTGTGTGAGTGTATGTGTGGTATGTGTTGTGGGTGTGCTTGTGGGTGTGGGTGTGGGTGTGAGTGTGTGAGTGTGTGTGAGTGTGGTCGCTGTGCGAACACCTACTACGACCAATGCTCACCACTATCCCCCATACCCACACCGCCTCCTCATTCAGCTACCTACACGTGCGTGGAGATGTTCTGTGGTTCCAGTCCATTCCATCGCTTGCCGACCAGATCTTCGTCTCCCCTTCCTGGCTGCTGAGCAAAGTGGTTGGCCCAGCGCTGGCACCGGACCACTTCCCCGTCCACTTGCGGGCAACGGAAGGGCGTGTGGTGTTCTCGGAGATGCAGCGCGTGTTTGGGCGGGTGTTGGATCCAGACCTCGTGGTGGACGTGCTGAGCAGCATGCTGCTGTGTTACGAAGAGGACGCCGCCATGCACGGAAGTGATGGTGACGGTGATGAGCGCGTTTTCATGCTGCTGTCGCGGCTGGAGTGGCGCCCAGAGCGTCTGTGGGGAGAAGATGGGTCTGTTGAAGTGTTTGCTGGCCGCCGCCTGCAGATTGCGCAACACCACGGGATGATTTTCCCCCCTGGCGTGTTCCCGCGTGTACAGTCGCGCATTGTGCAGTGTTTGGATTACACCACAAGCCTGTGGCAGACGGGGTTCTTTGGCCTGCTGGCCTCTGCTGAGTGCTTGGGCCGCATTGTGAGCGACACGTGCATTGATCTGTGGGTCCGCTGCCCAGCGGCACAGAAGGAGCACGCTTGGCTGGCCCTGGACATGGTGAGCTGTGGCGGTTGCTGTGTATGTGTGTGGTGGTGGTGGGTGTGGGTGTGCGTGAATTTGCTGCACTGCTCTGCTTTTGTCGTGTTCAAGTTCTCACGTTCATCTACACACACACACACACACACACACACACACCACACACACACACACACACACACACACACACACACACACACACACACACACACACACACACACACACACA